GCTTCACCACATTGTACCATAATGTCCTTAATTCACCACAATGTTTGTTGTCTCACAATGTTAAAAGTGCATTGGTGGTGTTGCAGTGTTTATTGTTAATATTAACACCTGGAACAATACTGTTGAATAAATGGGAAATAATAGAGTTGAATATATGTGGGTTAGTTACATAAAGCTAACAAATTCCATGACAGTTAATTTTGTTCCTTTCCTCAATACAGCTATAAGCAGTTAAATTGATGGAATTCCATCAGAACGTGATTACGCCTTTCCTGTGAATATAGTGTTAATTGACTATGTGGGAAATGGTGATTTGCACATTATTTGTGGTATAGTACAGAGAGTGCACCAATGAATGTTATGAATGAGTGACTCTTCACTATTTTTAATGAACTACTGTACAATGTTTATCGAGTATTACACAATGAATTTGACATATATTTTGTCATTAAACTTTTTAACTAACTTTTAACTATATTTTGAATTCTAAACAATGTGTGATATATTTTTGTATGTTGAATATGATTCTAAATCAGTAAATTGCCTTATTTGGTATAAAAATGTATTCTACATTCTACTCTAATCAGAGCCATATAATAACATTTTATATGTCTCTGCTCATATATCGCATGTCATAATACATTAAGCTTAGGTTATAAGCAAGAGCAAAAATATTAGATAAGAATAAAATAAAACGAACAGTGCAGTAATTTTTGAAAACATCCAAATGCCAGGCTTACAAAAAACATATTTTTATACTAAATCTATAAATGACCTTTAAACATTAAATGTAATGTCATATTGTGTTATACAATGTGTATTGTTTATATTCACTGCCATATTCCTCACGCTTTGATTCGTCCAAATAACTTGGAAATAAGCCAGAATTTCATAACCCCCCCCCCTCCCAGCTGTACTCTATAACATTTTGTTTTATCTATATTTCATCAAAACTAAATGCTACTTAATTTGATGTTATCTATTCTTTTTATTAATATTTAACGCTGTCAAAAGCCAAGCACATCTCTATTTAGCTTGATGTAATTTCCCAGTTAGTGAAGAAAATTACAGTGATTAATAAAACAAATATTTCATTTTATTCAATGAATACCTCTATCTCTTTCATTAGAGAAGACGGGGATGTCTCTGCATTCACATATTAAATATTCTATGATCCTTTTGGAGAATTTAGACAGGTATTCACCTCAACAGAATGAAATATTTTTATCATATCTTACATGATATTTAATATTGTATTTTGTCAGAACAAATCTATTGTTTCAAAACATACTATACCACAAATCATATCTATCAATATCTCATGCCTTATCATTGTGTCTTTAAGAAGGTATCAAACCATAGTATATTTTATCGTGTTAAATTGTATGATTTTATTGTGGTATATTGTATGCTTTTATTGTATTATATTGTATGATTTATTTGTATTATATTGTATGATTGGCCATCAGCCTACACCAATACTAGTACAAATATATCAAGAGGTTTCTAAATAGTCAAACAATTATTAACAATATTTTCGCATGATGCTGCATAATTGAATGTTTTTGGTTGTCTCATGTTTGGTGAATTCTACCTCCGCGTTATTGTATTATTCTTCTGCATTATGCGGAAGCATGTTCATGGTTTCATTTAACAGTTAGATCAAGAATCAAGAGTCATCATGTTATTTGAGCATCTGAGAGCAAAGTAAAGTCCATTAGAGTTATTATATATTGTGCCAGTCGTGTCAGAGATTTCCCTTGATGGTCATACATCACAGACTGCGTATGTGCCTCTATAGATCATGACAGGATATTTGTTATTTGATTCGTAAATGGCAAATACAATTTTGTTTTATTGGAAATTATTGTACGCTCCCCTTCATAAATTTAGTAACAACAAGTCTCCTTTTTGAAGAGGTAACAGCTATCAAAGCCTGTTTTATGTTTGGCAATTTAGAAATTCATCATCTTTTCTATTGTATTTAAGAAAATTAAGATTCAAACAGTATCAGACTTTGATAAGGTATGCCATAAAACATTCAGTTGCCAAACTTCTGAAGGGGAGTGTATCTACCTGTACCTACCTTTATATTGTTTGTTTTATACCACTTTATATCTGTTTTATTCTAAGAATTACTGCATGAAATGGAGAAAACACATATTTTGTCAAGAGATGAAATGTGTTCCATCCTGGTTTATTATCCATAAATGCTTCGCAAAACCTTTCATTTGTTATATTTTGTACAATGCAATTTGAAAAGATGAGAGCAAATTTCAAATTTCTTTATCGTTGTTGTCAAATCTGAGACTTATGGTACACTATGGTTTATGATACACTATGGTTTACGTCACACTATGATTTATGGTATGGTGACATTTACATGTGAGGTCAGTTTTCCCTTCCCTGAAACCTAGTCTTGAGCTTTAAAAGAAATCTTTGTTTTGATTTCCCCTTACTAATAGGGCTTTTTGAAAAGGCTTTCCAATGGTAGCATTGATTTGAATATTCCAAAGGCAGGTGAAGAGGCCCATTTTGTTGTATCATACCTGCCTTGGGGTTTAATTTTCTCAAAGAATTCATTTTTCCAGTTGAAGATAGTTACATCATTAAAAAATCAATAGATCTTCAGAGTGGGTTATTTGCATTGAGAATTGGCTATTGGATTTCTATTTCCAAAGGTATTGTATTGCGTTGTAGATGATGTCGGTATTTGCCAATGGTGGTCTATGTAACACAGTTCATTTTTTCACCCTCAATCAAGTTTACATAGTGTGGCGTTTCATTGTTCTATCTTCTCTGCAATTCTTCAATAAACATTAAGTCTCCACTTTTCTTCAAAATTGAGATCTTCAGGATGGACTTGACTCAGTTTATCATGCCAAATCTTAACTAGTGACGATTTATAAATAATTGTATATTCTAACTTGATATTATGAGTTTTTAGTTGTGCCTGGTAAATTAGAATCATGATTGCGATAATATTATAGGACATTAAAAACATCACTGCCATCTTTTTTATCGTTATTGTATTGTTTTACTGTAAATTGTTAAAATTTAATGCCTGCTTTAGTTTCATAGATTCTGTAAAAGATTGTGTAATCCTATACTATTTTGATTATAAAAATGAGCCATAATTCTGAACAAGACATCTATATATTTGCCAAAAGTACCATCTTATTATAGAGCAAGAATTTCAAGGTTTTTTGGACAACCCTTGTACATTATACATATATACATAACAGTATACAGGGTTAAATTGCTTTGTTATGAAGCATTTGGACAAAAAATCATAATTTTGTGTCTGTTTAAATAACACCTCTAAAATCATCTGTTACTAACCTTTTTTGAAAATGCCTTGTAAATGTATAACTCTAACCATTGATCGTGTTTAACAAATTAAAATGTATATTTTCCTATTTTTATGTAATGTTAATTATGCATTGTATTCAGTGAACAGCATCATTTATGTGAATATCTACAGTACGCATAATAGCAAACCTTACATCATGCCATAAGTGAGATGATACTCTGATTGTCTTGGAGGTTATATTAGTTTGCATAATTGCAAGAACACCATAAAGAATTTATATTTATACAAAATTATATTTTACACATATTTACTATGACTCTGACAATGCTTTCATCGCTGATGTGTTTGTACTTTATCAAACTACACTTAAAATATTGTGTACATGTCTTTATATTGTTTTGTATACAGTTATTGTATACAGAGGGTTTGTGTAATTGTATACACACTGTAATGTAATAAGATGTGCAATATTTTAATCCATGTTAATAAATTAATATTATTGATGTTAATTTATTATGTTGATGTTATATCACTGTATGTTAATTTATTAATGCATGTGATGTGCAATATATATGATATTTATATTTATGAATGTACAGTGTATTTATTAACTTTTAGTGATGTTTCTTGATATTCCTTTTACATGTATTTAATTCATTATTATTTTATTGTTATAGAATTTTATTGTATATATTCATCTTGAACTTATTGTTAAAACATTTCTTGGATTTGACTTCAATAAAATATTAATTAAATACTTGTGTTGTGTACTTTTGACATATAATCTTGTGTTTCTGAAGTATTTCCTTGTAAAACTAAAACTTCATCCCTAATATAAGCAGATTCAGACAATATGTATTTGACCTTTCCCTTGACCTTTGTTGATTAAGGTCAAATTGCTTCCAAGAGCTTTAAATACAAAATACATGTATCAGGCGAGCTTGATCTTGATTATGACCTTGATCTTTGTCTAGAATATTGACCTTCACTTTAATAATCATATGCCATCTTGGATTTGACCTAATGCTTTATGATTGAACCAAGTCGCCAAGTTGGGAAAGATGGCAGTGTTGTTTGTCAATATATCCTCCCTTACAGTGCCATCTTTATATCAACCAGACACACAAATAGACTAGATCGGCATATTAATTCACTGATTAAAATTATTAATTAGATAATCAATTCATTTGCCTGTGCCATGGGCCAATTCTGTGGGATATGACAAAGAAATATTTTAATAATGCTCAAGTCTCAATCCATCTCACTAATTGCATTTTACACTTTCGCATATGAATACCATTACTGTAGCGATTACATCAGTCTCAAGTGGCAATTAAACCCATTGTATTCTGGTTTTGTGGTTTTCAATAACAACCAATTTCACTCAGTTCATAACATTGATGGTTATAAAACGTGTAAGCTTCAAACTGGCAAGACACAATTAGTTTATGGTGAATGTGTCTGTCACGTCAGGATGAACAAGCACAATCAATTGCCACAACCCACATTACGCAATGCATCTCATTACTAATCTATATGTAATACATTTATAACATATATTTGCACATAAATACCGCTTGAGAAGGTGCGAGGAGCGTTTTTTTGTTTTCATTTCAATTTGTTTCATTACCCCGGGATTCATGGTCTACAAAGTATTTTAATCAGTTTCGTCCAATCCCACAATTCTAACGAGTCACGTGATCAAAAATGGACAACGGAAGTGGAATTTGCTGAAGTGTTAGGTGAGATTTAGTCTATTATTGTTGTAATGCTGTCTGCTAAAACAATTTGCGCATATTATTGTAATAAATCGTGTAATGGGACATATTTTTCCCATATTCATTGACTCTTATCCGCTGGTGAAAAGGCAAAATACTCAATGAAAATTCGAATGCATTTTCTGATTTTTCCTTTTTTTCTTTCTCCAGACTCCAGTCAAAATAGAATATTTAATTATTCCTGAATTATTCGACTGGCAGCAACTTACATACGCTTTATTTGGTTATTAGAAGTTTCTCGTTTTCAAGGGATTTCAGTGGCTTGCATTTGAAAATCCATCTGAAATGCTTCATCTTTGGATAAATTACTGTATAGATGCTGTCGACTGAACACTGGACGTATGACGCATTGCCCAGATATTTGAATTACCAGCCAGGGTTGAAATAAACCAGTTGTCAAAGAAACCCAATACGTCGAAGTTCGACACATTTTCCCGACTCAATATTTATAAAACCTCACACACAGACGCCTAGGGCAAAGGGGTGTAATGTCGACGTGTGGGGTAATCTCGACATAATAGACGGGGTAACTTCTACACTTACGTATTAGAAGTAGAATTTCCGTTTTCCGCCATGTTTGATTTCTGGAAAAATTAAAATCTCACGAGATTTCGATCCATGCGAGAAAAAAACCTGGCTTCCCCCTAGATCGGAAATTAGAGCAAATAAACAATAAGGTGTCGAAGTTACCCCACATGTCGAAGTTACCTCAAAATGGTGTCGACGTTACACCCCTTCGTCCTACAGTCAATATCCAATAGACTTAATCTTGAGAATTCAGTCTATTGATCATCATGTCCCTCGTTTGGGAAAAAACAAGAAATTTTATGCTCAAAATTATCAATTTTAGGAAACTTACTTCACTTTCTTTAAATAAACATTATATCAATTCAATAAAGTAGTATGGTTATATTTTAAAATGAGTTGTAAACCATAGATCTATTTTTAAATGTTACGGTTTTAAATTATATTCTATTCAAATTCTATCACTGTTAAAATATATATCCGCCTCAGATGGGCTTATTAGCCTTTTGCAGATTATTGACATAGACATAGACATGGTACAATTAAATGCTATAAAAAGTATAGCATATTGTCAAGTGGAAATAAAGCTATGGAAAGTAACAAATATGCAAATTAATTTAGCCAATCGGCCATTTTGAATGACACTTACTATGTAAGCAAATATTTTTCAATCCCAGATTTTAACATATGTGGGCACGACTATAGTCTGAATGTTTTCATTCCAAATTTCCCAAAAATTTCAGACTAAATAGGGTTTGAAAATTTAACCCCGTATTTATATATTCATGAGGGTACACTTATATTCACATGTTGTAATTTTTCTATTTTAGGTGCTGATGTTTGAATTATTCAATAAGGAATGGCATCTATGAAAAGTCGCAGTAGCCTAGAAGCCGCAGCTGAAGCTGCTGCCAAAGTGAATGCCATGCTAATAGCTAAGGGAAAATTGAAACCATCACAATTGTCACAACAAACAGTCACAAAACCTAAAATGCCCATAAGTCCCACTGGCCAACCCAGTATAAGTATGTCACCTACAGCAGCTGGAAACACATTGATTGTAGCAGAAGTTGAGATCAATGACGTTCCACCAGGGTGCAGAAATATGCTTACCAGAGGGAGCACGCAAGATGAGGTATTCATCTCTGGTTTCTTCAATTTGAACATTATTGTAATTCATACATACTTTGAATGCTTATACAGTATATACAATAATAAACTCCTCAAAAAAAGTTAAGGACCTCATAGGTTTACATGTTAATCCCCATATTTGTTTAACAACTGTTTTCTAAGCGGGGAACAAAATAAATCCCAATAAAGAAAATAAATCTGTATCTTGATTCTATTCACTATAAAGTCCGCAACGTTTCAATTTTATATCTCCATTAAATTGGGTCAAAATTTGATGTCAAAATTGATGAATTTCATGAAATTTAACAAAAATGGCAGATCCCATGTTAAACAAATGGGGAATGGTTGGGTTGCCATAAGTCATATGAGGAACGATCCATCCATCCGATTGCTCTCAAAATTGAGATTGTAAGAGATTTATATTTGCTAAATTGTCTGCTCGACAAAAATATGATTTAATTGTCCAGGCTTTACAAAAGTTAATGGTTTCAAATTCAATAATTTTTTAATGAACCTCTTATTGAAATAACACAGGTAGTTCAGTGAGGTGGTCAAAATTACTTTAACGCTCCGTATTGCTAATTTTAACAACATAAGCGAGACATTTAGCATGTAAAATGTAAGATCATTCAATTTTCTACTTAGAAAGTATTTTTAATAAATGTTTTGCTGAATAGATATTCCAAAATCTGAGTTGCCCCTAAGCCACCATTCCCCATTTGTTTAACATGGGATCTGCCATTTTTGTTACATTTCATGAAATTCATCAATTTTGACATCAAATTTTGACCCAATGTAATGGAGATATAACATTGAAACGTTGCGGACTTTATAGTAAATAGAATCAAGATACAGATTTATTTTCTTTATTGGGATTTATTTTGTTCCCCGCTTAGAAAACAGTCGTTAAACAAATATGGGGATTAACATGTAAACCTATGAGGTCCTTAACTTTTTTTGAGGAGTATATATAAAATTGGTAAATAGGAGAATAGTTTTTCCTCCTTTGTCCTTACACCCCTGATAAAGGATTATCATATACAAAGCTGAAAATCCTGGTTGATAATATCTAAACGTATTCCAGATCTCAAAACTAAGTGGGGCAGCAGTATCTACCAGAGGGCGCTATATGGGACCTAACGATATTGCCAAAAATAATCTGGGGTAAGTCATGAATGTCTGAGGTAAGTCAATAATATCAGGGCCATGTCATGAATATATGAGGCAAGTCATTAATATATTCTCATAGTACTGGATATTATTGTGTGTTTTCATAAGTCAGTGCTTGTATTAAATATGCTACTTATGTACTTTATGTCGTTGTAAAGTAGATTAGTCAAGCTAAAGTATCAAATGTTAAAGATGATTGTGTTATATTTCAGAGAGCGCCCCCTATACCTATGTGTACAAGGACCTGATCAGACCAGTGTAGATGGTAAGCATAAGCTAAAGTAGACAGATTTTATTGTATATGTACTTAGTTGATATGTTGCTGATTCAAATATTTCCATTTTAATATCTGAGCACAATTTTGGATTAAAAATATTAATTCACAATTAAGATTTTCACTGCTGTGTAAATTATTTGGTGGCCATTATGAACATTTCAATAAAATGTGTGTTTATGTACATTTCAGTTGCTGTTGCTAGAATCAAAGACATCATATCCACTGGTCTTAAGGGCAAAGTTGGGGCAAGAGTTCGACTGCCAAATATGCCGCCAGATTTCAGTATGCCACCTCCCTCTATCAGACCAGCTCTCCTGGCCACACCCCCTCCATTGATGTCTCTACCAACTCAAGTACAGGTACACATAAACTGATGACATCATCATTTGTACCATCAATTATTATCTCATTGTCATGTGTCTCACTTCCTGATTGGTTATTTATATGTTTTGAGCTGACATACTGTTTCATTTTGTTACTTAAATATTATGCAGGGTCATATTGTGGAAAATGTATGAACTGATGATTTTAAAGTAATTTTTGTTTTATTGACTTGAACCTATCCTACACTCGTTGATATGATTTTATCAAAATTGAATGTTATTAGATGGAAATAACTTCTTATTCTTTTCTTGAATGTTTTAATTTAGGTGCAGTTACTGAATGAGAAAATCTTTATTGGACTTGAGCATGCACCGCCATCTTTTGATGTGAAGACTAAACTAATGGGAGTAGATGTAAGTAATGTATACATACTGAATGTCATTAGTATTATTATCATTAGTAGAATTTCAAAAACAAAAACAGCAAGCAATTTCAAAAACAGCAAGCAAAAAGCAATTAAATGACTAATCAAAATGAATGCAATATGCCCAGCTTAAAGGCCCACTTTAGGTATTTCCACAGTTTTTGGGCAAAATAAAGACTTACATTTGAATTTCATAGTATGTTCAATGTATTGATAAGAACCTTACCTTTCATTTGACACCCAACAACAGCTCAAACGAACCACATCAAAGCTTACAATAAATTATCAAAAAATATTTTCGATCTGTCAAGCTTTATATATCAAGTTTTTATCAATGTCATTAAAAGATGGCAAAGTTGTTTACATGATACATTCATTTTTATAGAAGTGTCGCCATTTTTTAAATCAACAGTTATTTAAAACATGCACTTTGTTTAACATGTGCATGCATGCACTTCAAATGATTTTTCTATGTGAGTTAATTTTTTCTTGGTTCAATATTAAAGCAAATCAAACTTTGTGTCATATTTGAGTGAGTGTGTGAGTAACATATATCAATGATAATTTTTATTCTAAATTAAGTATAGTGGGCCTTTAAATTATTGGTTTTCAGAATAGAAACAATTTGAAAAGGCTTTTACTGCAAAGATCAATGTTTAGTTGTCCTAAGTACATTTATACTTTGATATCATACATAAAATACTTTTTTCATCCAAGTTGAGGAAATTCCCCAGAATTCATAGAAGAACCCATCTCCGATTGTATTTTTATTTTGTACAGGGTGGTCAAAAAAAATGGAAACACCATTTTCATCATATATTTGTCATTTTTAGAAATAATTCCCTGATATTTTACACATTTGTACATCATTCAATTTCCTACCAGCCCACACTTTATATCATGACCATCAGATTGATAGTCACAATGTTACAGCACTTTAAAAACATGCCCTAGTTGCCACTTTTGCGCTGTCGGGAAACCTGTACTTGTTGTCCAAAATGTCCCTACCTTTGGGGATATAGCAGATACAGTGTATGAGAATAACCTCAGGACAATTGCAAACCTCAAAAGGGAGATCATCCGTGTCATTGAGGCCATACCTGCTGAGGAATACATTTGGGTCATTGACAACTGTGCTGTTTTGCCTACAGTGCGATGATGGCCAAACCTGAAGCATGTTATTCAAAGTGCTGTAAAATAGTGACTATAAGTCTGATGGTCATGAAATATGGTGGGGTGGTAGGAAATTGAATGATGTACATGTGTGTGAAATATCAGGCAGCAATTTATTAAAATGACAAAGATATAAGGAAAATGCAGGGTTTCCTTTTTTTTGACCACCCTGTATAAAAGTAGATGGCATATCATGTGAAATGGATAATTAGATAGCGCTTCATTGGTGAAAAAATCATAGTGATTGGTCGATAACAAGCATCTGTGTGAACTGAAAAAGCATCCATTTCGCTTCTTATTTCAGGGCAGTTTCTTGCAACACATTCAGAATGAAACATGTGCCAAGGTTAGCCTACATGGAAGAGGATCTGGCCACATTGATCCACAAATTGGCAGGGAAGGATTTGAACCCATGCATATACATATACAGTGAGTACTATTTGCAAACCCAAGCATATACACATACAGTGAGTGCAATGTGTAAACCCATGCTTAAACACATACAGAGAGTGCAATGTATGAACCCATGCATATACATATACAGGAGTGCAATGCATAAACCAATGTATATACTCATACAGTGAGTGCAATGTGTAAACCCATGCATATACACATACAGTGAGTGCAATGTGTAAACCCATTCATATACACATACAGTGAGTGCAATGTGTAAACCCATTCATGTACACATACAGTGAGTGCAATGTGTAAACCCATTCATGTACACATACAGTGAGTGCAATGTGTAAACCCATGTATATACATATACAGTGAGTACTTTTGGTAAACCCATGTATATACACATACAGTGAGTGCTATTAGTAAACCCATGCATATACACATACAGTGAGTGGAATGTGTAAACCCATGTATATACACATACAGTGAGTGGAATGTGTAAACCCATGTATATACACATACAGTGAGTGCAATGTATAAACCCATTCATATACACATACAGTGAGTGCAATGTATAAACCCATTCATATACACATACAGTGAGTGCAATGTATAAACCCAATCATATACACATACAGTGAGTGCAATGTATAAACCCATTCATATATGCATACAGTGAGTGCAATGTATAAACCCATTCATATACACATACAGTGAGTGCAATGTATAAACCCATTCATATACACATACAGTGAGTGCAATGTATAAACCCAATCATATACACATACAGTGAGTGCAATGTATAAACCCATTCATATATGCATACAGTGAGTGCAATTTATAAACCCATGTATATACACATACAGTGAGTGCAATGTATAAACCCATTCATATACACATACAGTGAGTGCAATGTATAAACCCAATCATATACACATACAGTGAGTACAGTATACATGGCATTTTTCCTTGACACAGTGCTATTATTCTGTTATTGCTGGAATCACAGTATTCTGATTGGTTAATGTCAGAATTTATGCGTCTGCTAAAAATACCATGAGTATTCTGACCTAAAAGTGGAAATGTCTATGATTTGTTAGAATAATAGATTCAGTTTTAGGATTTGAAAATTTTATGTCCATTTGCCAATCTAGTAATCATTCACTGTGTTTTGGTTTCTTATTTCTGCTCCAACTAACTCACAAAAAGTAATGATTTTAAACAAAAACTGATTGTGTTATGTTTGATTGCAGGCACACTACATTACCAGGGTTACAACAGGCAAAGGTCTTAGTAGAGAACCTCATACAAACAGTAAGTCAACAGTTCCTATTAATAAGCTAATGCTATACCCAACTTCCCATTGCATTTTTATTTTTTAGTGATGATATAATTACAGATACCAATATGTAAGAATTTCTATAAACCCCTTTGGTTCTACTTGCCCAGGAGTTTCAGATTTTGACCAAAAAACAAGGGTTTCTTTTGGAGACTACTAAAAAGCAGCACCATTATTTGAAACTAAGGTAGCAAGAACCTAACCATTTCATGTGGTCTTTTATTGGTTGGGGACATCTTCTTTATGGAAAGTTGGGTATTTTGATACCATTCCATGACCCAATAATATTTTCTTTCTTTCAGGTAATTGCCAAATTGACAAAATAAAGTCTTTCGTGACTTTTTCTTGATTACAGATCATAGTATTTAAATACCATTATTTAAAAGTTTTAGTTTATTTTCAAGGTTTCAATGCTGTTGAAATATCTCTATTGTTCTCCCCTCCAATGTATTAGTTTAAAAAGTCCATGGACTTAGCTTGGCATTTCTGTACTCTCAAAAGGTGGCAGCACTTGTTGAATCACAATATACACGCACATTCAGATTGCATCATGCGATACAACTCTAAAGAATTTCTCACAGTCATAATAAAATGAGCTGAGAATTTTTAGATTTTTATTCCGTATAAATGCTATCTGACTAGTTTAACTACCAACTCAATAACTGAACACTAATTTATTGATTTAATTGAAGATAATTTCAGATCGTCCACTCTCATGTTTTTTAATGGAAACAACTCATTTCTAGAATTCAGAAAAGTTATGTTTTCCATATAGCTGAATATTTTCATGAATTTAATTCTCTAATTCATTTTAAGGTTTGGTGCAAGAAAAGAGTTCAAACATAATTAATAATAAACAAAAAAACAAATTTAGAACTCCAGTATTTTAGGCTTGGTATGAGACTTAGATATGATATGTTTGAATTCTATAGGTAAGTAATATGTAATTTATGTAAATTCATTTCAACTTTTTGAACCTTCTTAATTAGGCGAAAACTCTAATATGCAGAAAATAGCTGTCAATTTCCAGAGGTCTCCATATTTAGTGTAGTTTCCCATAAATTCAAATATTTCGGTCCCTCGTTCAATGCCCTTATAAGGTCAAAAGAAAGCTCTTACACTTTCAAACCTTTTCACTCTTTCGTGAACATTTTTTCTCACCAAATTATTCCCATTGTATATACACTGTTGGAGACCTCTGATTCTACTGAATTTGCATGTAAATAACGCAAGTTTTGCTCTCCAGAAAATAGTCCACCAAGTTGATTGAGAATTGTTGTTTCCATGCGTGATTTGTCTAACGTAGGTTCAACATGAATATGCTAGCTTCCAACAAGCACTTGCTGCGATGCCACCAGGACCCTTTGTACCCGCAAGTTCTCCAATGCCCCATGGGTACCCTCAGAGTAAGTTAAAACTAACTCTAGATTTCTCGAGTCATCTTTTGCAGGATCTCTTATATGTATTTTTATATGTATTATTGCTTACATACATGATTTTCATGATATTTGTGATATTTGAAAAATGGGTAAATTTACTGCTTCTTTTCTGAAACTGTAGCCATGAAATTCCCATTGCATCCTCGTGTCTCCCAAAATACAACAGAGATATGCCCATGACACTCCCATTAAAACCAAAATGCTCCCATTACAGCCAAAATATTCCCATTACAGCCAAGGAGTGTTGAATGAATTTTGATTGTCCAGCAGCATCAGAATGATTTTGGGTTGCCATGGAGACAGTGATTTTGCATTGCCATTGAAACAGTGATTGTGTCCTTGAATGACCAATGAATTTTTAAGAATTGTATATTACTGTGATTTATACCTCGACAGGCCAGATCAAAATATCAGCGTGCTTCTTATTAAAACAAATGAAATTAATGCTCAGACCCCTTCCTCGGTTAGCTACTGCTTATCATATGATTATTTGAACAAAACCTGGCCCTTAACCTGACCCTCCTCTCTTTAATCTAATTGACTTTGCAAAAACAACACTCATTTTTGACCTGGCCACTACTACTAATCAAAATATACATTACATTTATTGTATCCCGTATCTCCCCTGCCCTCTCCCGCTGGTATTGCTTAATGGTGTGTATGTTTTATGCCAACTTTTATTTTTTGAATGCTGTATGTCAAAGGTGTTCACGATGACCTCATGGATTTTTGTTTCTCCAGAATTTGAAAATACATGTATTATAAGCTTGTAATATTTCTCTGCTATTTAGCCTGTGTTCACTGTCCATCATGTTTCAGTAGAGCAGTCTTATCGCTTAACTGTCATATAATATGCATGTCCACTGAAAACAACTCCATTTAATATATGCAAAGTTTGTTGACTTGTATATCCAAAGATGGCTTCTGATCTAAAAGCCTCTCTGGAGATGACCTCTGACATGAGAGCCTCTTTTTGAAGATGACCTCTGACCCAAGAGCCTCTCTTTGAAGATGACCTCGACATGGAACAAATTACATTTTAATCTCTCGCTTACAGTTGTCCAAACATCCTCCCAAAGTGTTACTGATGCAGGATCAGCAAAAGGTTGATGCAGGGATGATGAAAAATGCCATCGTTTATTTATTGAAATAAACCACTGTGTTTCTCTTGATTGTTTGTCTTGTTGCTCTCATAATTTTCTCTTACGAGTTTTCAGGTTTCAGACATCTGGTGTCACTCAAGTTTGCTTATCTATTCATATAACTCTGCATGTTTCCTGTATGTCTAATTGAATATTGTTGTATTCCTCGTGCATATAAGTGTATCACCGGGATCAGCTTCAAACGAAGAAAAGTTTGACTAACAACATCATTTTAGTTCAGGATCGTCATATAATGTGTGTATATACTCAAAATCGGCTATTTAGGTCAAGATAAACAGCTTGAAGTAAGGTGGCCGCTTTAATATCGACTCTAGATTTGAGCCTGAAATACATTTATGTTGAACACACTTAAATTTTCTTTTCTCCAGATATTTTCAGTGTTAATCTGTTCACTAATAAGATAAATGCTCTCGAATTGTATTAGCCTAGAGCGTTGATCAACTTCACAAATTGGAAATAGGAAATCAAAAGCTGTAGATTTCCACACTTGATATATTTTTTCCAAATTTCTTGTTTAACTAAAGTGTACTCTTCAAATTATTTGCTAGGTTGATATGGTCTCAATTGGATTTTACCAGATGGTGTTTTTTATGATTCGCCCAGGCAGTAAATTCTTTGATTTCCTCATTTGGAACAATTTTGATCGTATCATGCCGAGTTTTGTTTGTGGTTAAACCAGAACAAAAATATATTTTTCAAGTCCTTATTTTGTGATTCACCCAGGTGATAATGATTTAACCACTTCTATTTCAGCTTCTAAAATTTGATTTTCAGGTAATATTATCTATTTGCAAATATGAAATTTTAACCTTTGCTTACCTATTTTAGGGTTCACACAAGGGTTGCTCAAAAAGTTTTGACTTGTTCCACATTCACTCTTCTTATCTTAATAAATACAATTTGATCAAATAAAGTATGAAATAAATTATGAATGAAGTAACTCATTGCCAGTAATAACAAGTGAATGCTTTTCAAACTTATCAAAACATTTTGATCAGTCCTTGTATAGACAGCTATTTAAGCCTTTGATTATTCTCTGTTTGCAAGGTTTAGGTATGCCACCTTCACAGCATGGGTTAGGCCTGATAACATCCCCAGCAACCATTCAACTCCCTGGTGGTGCGATGACCCTAGCAACAGCAGACAGTCGTAGTCTACCTATGCAGCCTCCCATGCAGATGGGGCCTGAACTCATCCAGAGACCTGGGCCTCCTATGGAACTAGGACCACCCCCTATGGGTTTCCCAGGTATGGTTGAACATGATCAAATACAGTATGTCTTTTTTCAATTTATAGACACTCTCTATTTTTAATAGATGTTGGTCAATGAAATCTAGGCTTGTTGATCTACGACGATTTCATCGTACTTAAAAATGGGTACAATGTTGGTAGTAGATTTTAAGGAAGCCATTTTTTGGTATGATATTCACCTTTTCCCTTGTTCAAAATGATATTGCCCTCTGAATTAGAATATGGATATATTTCCAGTTGGTAGTGAACCAGGCCCTATGATGGGACCCCCAGGCATGGCTATACCTGGACACCCTGTCCCGGTCACAATAGATGGCCAACCAATGACCAGAATCATACATGATCCAAGTCAGCCACCTCCCAATACTACACTAGCCTCAGCTCTGCCAGGCTACCAGCTGCAGCCTCCCCAACTGATTCAGACCTTGCCTGGTCCCATTCCTCAGCCAGGACAGCCTGGACCCCAGATGACCTTTCAGCCGCCCCAGACTATCCACCTAACACAGCCTCCACCTGGGATGCCCCCACCTGGCCAGGACATGCCTCCACAGCAAGGGATACCCCCACCAGGGATTCACCAACAAGGGATGCCCCCTATGGAACAACAGCAAATCAGTCAGGCTGGGCAGCCACTCCAACCTGGCCAGCCACTGCAACCAGGAGTACCACCTCAGCCTGGGATGACTTTCCAGCACCCTGGTCAACCCCAGCCTGAACAGCATCAGTTGCCTCCTCCAGGTTCCCCTGCACCTGGCCACACGTTGTATGCCAGCCAGCCACAGCCAGGCCAGCCACAGATGCAGCAGTTGCAGCCTGGTCAGATGCTGCCTCCCCCAGGTCAAGGTCAGCCTGTGCAGCAAATCCAGGTGTCCCAGGGGCCACATCCAGGGCAGCCAGGCGGACCACCAGAGCAGCAAGGCGCTCCAGGTGAGCAACCACCACCCCAGATGATGCAGCAACATGGTAAGCCCCAAGAACAACAACAGCAAGGAGGTGTGGTGTATGAACAACAGGGACCCCCTCCCTCACAATCCCAGAGTCAGCCACCACCTGGGTACCTCCCCCAGCAGGGTGATCCAAACAGACCCCCTCAGCAGCAGGTTCACTACCAAGGCCAGCCTCCACCCTTGCAAAATGGCCAGTTCCACCCACAGGGCCCAGGAATGCAGCATGTGCAGGATCAGCCTCCCACGCAGCAGCAACAACCCCATCACCCCCAACAACAAGTGGTTTTCTCAACTAGTGCAGGCATTGTATCTAGCATGGCCCCTTCATCTATGTCCCAGGCCCCTCCACCACAATGGACAGGCAGCCAGGCCAGTCAACAACCCATGTCATCTCAGCATGACCAACAGTCACACTACACATACAGCAATCAGCAGGTAGGTTACTATTTTATACAGTAATCTTCCTCAGCATTACACAGTCATACAATAGTCAACAGGTAAAGTTTGTGTATATTGCATTATAAATGAATGCACCCGAGAAGCTTATTCTGCCTTAGATTAATGTATATGAACTGTATTTGTAGCCACAGATGACTCATGGTGTGGGAAGATCAGAACAGAATCCAGTGAGTCACCAACAAATGAACCAAGTGACCCCCTCCCAGTCCTACCAGCAGACATATACTGCTCCTAGAGAAGATACTGACTCAAGAAAGCGAAGGTTCACTGAGGAGAAGAAAGAAGATAAAATGCCTGATGGTTTATTAGGTTACCAGGTATGTGTCACATGTTTGTGAGGCTCCCTCTTGAAGGTCAAGGTCATCCCTTGCAGCACAACCAGGGCCTGGCTCCAGGGCAATTGTAGATTTGATATTAAAATACAGTAAACCAACTCATCAAATTTTTGGAATTTTAGAATTTTTAGTTTTAATAACTTAACTGAATAATATTTTTTCCAGCATGGGCCCCCGCACATCACAAACCTTGTTTCATCCACCCCTCCTCCCCCACCCCCTGCAGCACCAGGAGGTCAGGAAAGGGGAGAGATGCAGTCATTATTTGGTGCCCCACCCCCACCACCTCCTCCAGAGGAAAACAGGTAACATAACTTGTTAATCGTGTATTAAAATATAAAATAAGCTGAAAAGAAGTTACATTGAATGAAGTAACTATGCTAACACACAAATATATTATATACAAAATTTTCAAAATAAAAAAGTATGAAAAATTATGCTGTGTATGTAATGACACCAATAGTGAATGGAATTCTCATAAAACAAATTATTCTACTTTGTCCTTATCATGGTTCCAGGCAGAACAATCCTGCAATATTGATGCCCCCTCCACCCCCACCCCCTCCCATGATGGGTGAGGGAGAGAAGCAGGGTCTAATGCCTCCACCCCCTCCCCCACCCGGTGCTGTTAATGATGGTAAGTCAGCAAACTTTCTTGAGAAAGAGTGAGGTAAATCTTATTTAGACGTTTTTAGAATCTCAAGTGATAGCTTGATATCCCTGTTTTGTTATTGAATAAATGTATGCCCATATTTGAACATTGATGTGTTAATACCCTTGTTAAATGAGAATTGTTTGAATGACCACCTTTTTATAACGAGCACTCTTAATGTAAACTCTTTCTCGGTCCAGTCCAAACGTTATCTCCCCATTGATTAACACATAAGAAACCTTGAAAGTGAAAACCTTCTAGTATGAACACTTCTTCTCCATTTTTCCTGTGTGCTTTAATCAACTGTGTATACTTTATTATTATAGATGGCAAGAGGGAAGATCCTAATGGAATTAAAAGATCAAAGAAAGGTATTAAATATAGCACTTTAACAATACTTATTTGTATTGTCCTCTTACATTTACTTCAGTGAAACAAAATGACTCAAAGAGTTGCAGATGGCCAAAAATAGTTTAAAACCAAATTAAATGCTTAAATGTTATTTTTCTGTCAGATTATATAAAGAGAATACAGGATACAATAAATGGAATATTGAAGAAAAGCATTTTTCCAAATCCTAAATGAGAAAAGTAATTGAATGATGGAACAAGAAATCTTGATCACAGGTGTTAAATCATATTTCCCTAATATATTAATCATGCTTTCAGAATATGAAGATGATGTGAAGTCAACAATGCGGGAACAACAGCGAGATGTTGGAAAGTATTCCTTCAACCAGTTCTCCAGTAAGCCTCAGTTGTACCAACAACAGAATGATCCACATTACCAGACATTTCAGCAGTATGGTGGCTTCCCACAAGCATCACAGGGACAGCCTCAGCAACAGCATCACCAAGACTATGACCATAGGGTACAGAACCCTGAACCCCCTAAGCCACCACCACAATTTGGAGGACCTAATAGACCATTTTGGATGGCACCAAATTGACCTAATAAACCATTTTGGATGACCCCCAATTGACCTAATAAACCATTTTGGATGACCCCCAGTTGACCTAATAAACCATTTTGGATGAATTCCAATTGACCTAATAGACCGTTATGGATGGCCCCCAATTGACCTAATAGACCATTTTGGCCACCACTTGGATGATTGATCCCCTCTAAAACATCATGATTTGGTGGATCTAATACTATATAGTATGCCAATTTGGAGGAAACAATTCTGATCTTGCTTATTGCTTCTGCAGATGTTCAAATAAGACATGAACAGTAAATGTCCACTTATTTATTTGGAACATCTCTCTACAGGAATAACTGCATCTGTCCCCTTAGGAGTCCTAAGCTGTTCCTGATAAATCTGAAAAACTGAACAAAAAATACAGGGTGTCCATAAAGTCTCTACATTTTACACAGGCTTTGTATTGTAATTGTATTGAATTTATTGACACTTATATTAGGGAAAAATAATATTATATTATAATTTATTTTGTAATTCATTTGTAATGAAGAACATTAAAAGAATAAAGACAAATAGGGTCAAGGATGGAATCCACATACATATACTTTTCGTATGTAATTTGGTAACACATATTGTTTCAGTGGTTTTGTTATTGTTTTTAATGGAAATTATTTAAAGTATAAATGGCGCTTTAATTTTTGTTAGTGTTTTTCATATCATATATAAGGAATTATGCTATAAATGAGATATAGTATTTCAAGATACTACGCAACTTTAGTCTATGATATTATTAAGAGTAATCTCTGCTTATATTATGCCAAAATTATGACATACTTGTTTATGTTATATTATCTCGCAGACATGGATGAACCTTCGATATGATATGATATGATAAGATATGTTACCATGTGGTATGATATGATATGATGGTATGTCATTAAAATTAATGTATTTGATGTAAACTGTTTCTTTTGTAATCTATAAATGCTTAGATAAAGCGGATGTATGTATTTTAATGAGAACAATCATGGATTTCATAAATAGATCATGGTGGACTGGGAATGCTGTTGTTATATGTATGAGCCAAAGAAAACATACAAGAAGTTAAAGTTAATGACTAATCTGCTTTGTGAGAGAGAATCACTGGATCAAAATGTGCTGATGAATATTTGTGTTGAGTACATTTTCCTCAGTACCAAACATCATTAGTATTTATGAATATGTTATTTGAATTGTCGTAAGAATTAAGACTCACAACTAGCTGTTAAACTTCTATAGACAGATGTCTCTATATGCTCAAGACATTTTCAAAGTGGCCAGTCATTTCAATAGAGTCGCCATGTTTCATTTTTGGCTATAGCCAGAATACTGCTTGGCCAATGTTGTAAATATTAAGTATCAAATTTGCTTCTCCTTAGTTGCTAATTAATTAACTAATTAGTTGCTAATTACTCTAATTATAACATTCTTCTGAAAATCATGTACAAAATCAAGAGTTGCTATTTGCAATATGTAGATTTATATACATGTAATAACATTGTTACACTTAGTGAAAGTACGGACATGTACAATATACATTAAATAATTGTACGGACTTGTGCAACATATAGGGCAAATGTATAAAAATAAATTGTATAAAACTAAAAAAGAAAACTTGCTTGTATTTGTTATTCAGAAAACAGGCCATGCAAACAGATTTAAAAAAACAATGCCATAACAACAGACTAAAATTTCCTTGAGACGATTTTTCTTAAATCCACTCATTTTAGGCTTAGAGCCTTTGTTTTTGATGACTTTGATATTTTGAATGACAGACCTCTGATCTTGTTAATTAGGCGCAAGTTTGAAATGAAACAGATACATTGCACTATCACAATATTCTTATCAAAAATGCCTTCCTTCTAATCTGTCTTGTCTCTTATCATTTTGTCAACACAAGATAATGCACGGGGCGATCAATAAATTTTGCAATTTTTGGAGCTTGATTCTTGCTTTTGTGTTGGTTTCAAACTTTCTGGTACACATGTTAAGCCAAATGTTATCTTGATAAGATATTGTATGATTATGAATAGTGTGTTATCTAGTCACTGTATCTTTGATAATAGTTGCGCTCCTTGTGAGAAAGCAAGCACATGTTTGGAGTAGGGACTTTGTGTTAGTCACTCAAATGTTTAAGTTCATTCAAAAACTTTAATTAAATGTCTTGGAACTTTCTATTCATATTTGGTCATTATTTTTTCTCTTGCTCATTGATAGAGGGGTAAACATGAGAATAATGCATATTAGTTCTACTTTTCTAAATATTAGGATTTTAAGCATAGTACAAACACTAACCAGATCACATGTAACCTTGATGATGCTCAGTGGTATAGCTAAGGCATGGGGCTTAATGTGTTACCAAACTCTATATGTATAAGAGAGTTTTGACTTAGATACTCTAAGTTCAACATCTTGAACTTCAGAAATCCTATGCACATAGTCTAGTCAGTACCTACGTTCAAAGTTCTAACAATTTCCAAAAGTCAAACTTTTAACAAATATGGCAATGTCAAACAGAACAAAACATGTCAGATTTTAATTTTTATTGATAACAAATAAGACACTAAATCTGGTGATAATTTAGAAGTCTCCTGATCCCTCGGTGGCTGTGCATCGTGGGTTCATGTGGACGACGAGGCCATCATCAGTGTGGATATCTTCAGGTACGCACTCAAGGCCAGAGGCACATGGGCAGGAGAAGGAGTGCATGCCGTCCTTGACCTTCCATAGCTCATCCATACCTCCCATGCTGGCAGAGCAGAAGTCTCCCTCCATCTTCCTGCCCTCACAGAAACCTATAATTTCAACAAAGGATTTAAGTCAAGAGGTCCATGAATTGGATGATTTAAAGCATGAGTGTCTTGTATTAAGAGTTTGAAGGAGGGCTCTCAGCGAAGCTACAATTATAACAAATTATTCACTTATCAAGATCAAATTGGAAAATACATGGTGTACATGGAACATGTTCTCACTTTTTTCAGATCAAATTGGTAGCAGCTAAAAAAAGTTAACCAAATGCACAAACCTTTCTCTTCTCCCCAAAGATCTCCTAAGAATCTCTTGCTGAATGGGTCGTGTACGCAGCATTCCTCTGGCTTGCAGTCAGCACTGGTCTTGCAAGGCTGGGCCCTCTGACCCTGCAATGGGAAAATATGTGAAACATGTGAAAAATTGACGTATTCTTCAATTATTAACCCTGCAATGTAAAAATTGTTAAAAATGTGAAAACACAATAAGAAATTATTTGATGCAGGCAGAAACAGGAGATGTATTTTTTAGATTTGTATAACTAAGATAGTTATAAAAAGTGTTTTCAATATCAAAAATCAGAAAAATTGAAATCAGACTCAAATTCATACTTGAAGATGATGACATCAGATCAACTTTGATGAAAATGAAAAAAATGAAATTGTAAATCAATATGAGCACACAATACTTACATAAGCTACGGCAATGAGTGCCAAGGCAACAAATACGACTTTCATTTTGGTTGAGTGATATTTATGAGATATGATAGGAAGATTGTGAGCATCTTCTTATATACTGTCATATTAGGGGTTGGTCAATGGGAACACACAGGTGTTGGGTGAAGTCCACATGTTGTGCTAGATATATGTGTTATGTAATCTCAGGTAAATTTGATATTGTGATTAAGCTCAATATTAGACACAATCGGCACAATATTGAGCACAATTAGCAAAATGTTGAGCACAATCAACACAATGTTGAGCACAATCAGCACAATATTGAGCACAATCGGCACAATGTTGAGCACAATCGGCACAATATTGAACACAATCAGCACAATATTGTGCACAATCAGGACAATGTTGAGCACAATCGGCACAATATTGAACACAATCAGCACAATGTTGTGCACAATCAGGACAATATTGAGCACAATCAGCACAATATTGAGCACAAGCAGCACAATATTGAGCACAATCAGGACAATATTGAGCACAATGTCAAGCACAATCAGTGCTGATTGTTTTAATTATAATATTTTGAAAATAATTTTTTTGTGTAACCTTGGTAAACAGGTATAAATGTGATATATATATTATCGGGTTTATTGAATATACAACCCCTCCCTATGATAGTCTCAATATTTCCTAAATATATGAATAGGGATAATTCATAAAATCCAACGTAACAGTTGTTTTTTGTTCATAATGATTACACAGCTTATCACTCCTTTCACCTCTATTGTTCTATCGATATAAATTATCTAAATATTTTATCTCGATCAATACCTTGTTTTTGTAATACCACGCAACAAAATAATCACAAAGAATAAGGCGTTAGCAACAGACAACTATACACACGGTAACCATTGTAGAGTTATTGATTTACTTACCTCTCCATTGAATTTACTATATCAATGCTCAGTGTGTAAACATTGAAATCAATAAAGACTGAGTACAATGAACTTTGAATATTTCTAGCGAGAATTGTATTCTTTTTGCAGATATTCTTTACTTACAGTATATAATTTGGATAAACTCAATGTTTGGAATCATAGTCTTGATCATTATGATTTAAGTGTTGACTATATTTTTTATATATTTTTTAATTGATTTCTCAATTCACTCTTTATAGGGTATAAGAGTACAAAACATTAAAATAACATTATAAATGTACACTTTTTGCCCAGCCTTGATTAAAAATCATTCTGATACAACATTTTGTATTTGCATTATGATAAATATGTTTTAAAAATGGGAAAAAAAACAGTTACATTAAAACCTACCCTAACTGCACAAAGGATTCTGAGGCATGGAATTATAGTTAGATTTGGATTCTTGCATGTATATTTGATTCCACATTGTATTGTTTCATCATTAATGTCAATGTCATTTAGAATGATTGTAGATGTAATTGATAAAAACTAATTAATTGTTTTCATAATTCATTTAGGATCTGAGGCTCAATGATATATTGTTGTTCCTATGGAATGTATCACATATAAATATTTAATGGAAGCTAGCGGACTCAATAGTTCTCTCTAAGTATTCAATCATGGCAATTTTCCTTTGATATCAAAGTCTTTTGAT